GAGGCTGAGCATTATTGTTTCCTAGTAGAGACAGGAGAGCAACATATCAGGTCTTTTTTGTAGAGTCGCCAAATAGAGAGCAGGCCAACGGAAACTAAATCCTCTGTTCTGATCATGACAAAATAGAACATTGTGGCCTGAAATCCAAAAGTCATGTCTGGATATAAACAGGGCGTAATCGTGATCTCTCTAACACCCTCTTTACTGTGAACTTTACTAGTGAATAAGTTGACAGCAGCTAAACGCAGAGGTATGAAGTGCATTGGAGCTCAAACTAAGTTGACAATTCATCTTCTGACCTGATACTGACATAAAGAATTCAGCCAAGGTAAAAAAGGAATTTGTGAGTTTTCTCCAGAGGCTGATAAAACTTGAGAGGAATTTACAAAACATAGTTGTGTCATTAGACTGTGCAAAAATGCTTCAGCAACATTTTAAAACCATGAAGACACTGGATTAACAACCTTTTGGTAATAATAATAAAAAAAAATTAAAATTAAAATGCAAGTCTTTCTAAAGGTGCTGTAAGATGTAAAATCTACTTTTTTGAGCTTTACATCATGATGATTTCTGCCTCATCAAAAACATGCCCGGGTTGTTGCTTTGATTCCTTCATGCATGTTTGAGAAATCCTTTAATATCCATGGCAACCATTCAGCTGTGCAAAATGCCTTGGTTGACCGAGCCCTGCCTTCGAGATGAAGCTCTTCCTCAGACCTGCAGTTGTCAAGCTTCCATCTCACAGAGCATCCCTCCCCTGTGACTGCCCCACCCAGCTCCTTCAGACTAGCCTGCAGCAATTAGCAAATAGCTGATGGAACTACGCATCTGCTGAGCTCATTATAGGACATACTTCTTAGCAAAATGCTGGTAAAAATATTGTTAAAGGGTTAATAGAGGAGCAATGCTTTGATGACTTCCTGAAGATGGAGTGTCAGAAAGAGCAGGAGATTTTAAAGAGACAGAGTCCCAATTTCAAGGCATTGAATTACAAAGTCAAATTTATTTTAAATCTAACTTGATATAAAGCATTTTATAAATCAACTTAAGGTATAGCACTTAAGTTGTTCTATAAAATGTCTCTATGTGCCTGGAAAACACATCATATTTCCATTTCAAATCAGTTTTTGCTGTAATATGTTCTGTGTTTAGATCTTTGCAGAAGAACAACACTTAAATCCATTTTAGAATGAGTCTGTAATGTAATAAAATGAAAAAAAAATAGATGTGTGAATATTGTCTGGTGATGGTGTAGTTACAATTGTCAGTGTGAACGTTCTGAGCGTTGCAGTTTTCACATACTGTAATGAGACTGTAATTACTTTAGATTTGAGTATTAGTGCAGACAGAGACCCTGAATGCAACAGATATCTCCCCGCTCTCTCAGCGTAATTTGCGCTCATGAACACGTGTAATTGCAGCTTCTACAGCTTGGACTAATTGAACCCCATAAATAACTGCTACCACAATGGGAAATAACCAGTAAATGAGTTGCCATCAGGCTGAAACATTTAAACCACCAACTCCCTTTTTGTGCGTGCCTGCGTGTGTGTGTATGTGTGTGTGTAGTTCTGGAACAATAAAAACTTTGGATGAGCTTGATGCCAGGAGGAGGTACATCCATCAAAAATCCATAAAACATGTTACCTGATGCTCATTACCACGCTAATGATTTTATCTTCACTCATCATGGCTAATATCCCGCATAAAGGTCATAAAAAGGAGCTAATAACGCGATGATTTCCCATGATAGCGGCTTCCTTTGCTCTCCCTCTCTCTCATTACTTACTGTATTATCGTCGTTATATTCTCTCATTATAATCATATTGTCAGAGCGGCAGGCGCAGTTTGAAACGGTGTACATCCCAGCCTAAAATAGGACTCCTTGTGTTTGTATGTTTACACAGAGAGGTGGTGACTAATCTCATATCCTCCTTCATCTGTTGCCATGAGTTCACCGCCCACCATTTTCTCATTATGGCTTGCCAGTATGTTAAAAAAAAAACAGGTTCAGTGGGAATCACCAATATTAGATAGTAGAGGCGTATGATTAATCAACTTCACTTTTATAGCCAGAATTCCCACCTATAGGACATACTGAGAGGTTTGAAGATGCTCTCATAATAGAACAAATATCTGAATCAATGTCCCTCAGGAAACGGCATTTCAACCACCTGCTTTCTGTAGACATCAAGAAGCTTCTGACATATGAAGAGATTGTAGGTGAAAACCTACAATCTCTTCTGATCAAAAATAAGAGCTGGTTTAACTGGCTTGGTTTCATTTCATAGACTGCACTGCTAAGAGTAGTTCACAAATTTTAAGTTGATGTCTGAACCGTATGAGAAGCTTTACCTATTCCAAGACTACTGTTATCTGCATTTTTATTTCCCACATAATTGTGAAAATTGGAATTTCCAAAACTAATTTGGTGAGCAGAAACACGCTAACATCTGTATTTTGCATAACTGCAAAGGAAACACTTTTTTTTGCATTACTCAAGTCAGATGATCAACAATCGTTTTTTATTCCTGGTGTAAAACACAAAAGCAACAGGGTAATGGCAGGAGGATGATGGCGTGGCATGTTTGTTAACAATAAGACTAGTCACATGATTTTAATTGCATTTCTTATTTAATGCAAACACTGAAATTGTGAAACTGTGTCTTTTGGACTTTCACAATGTTTGTGTCCAGAATGTGTGGGCTCTGCAGAGATGTTATCTCTCCTTTTCTTGACCCTGGTTTTGAATAGAGGACAGATCAGCCCCAGTGATCCTCTCTGCAGATCTGGCTGCTGATTACAGTTTTTTCCTGTCCTGTTTCAGGATGAGCCAAACCACACATTGATGGTCAAACAAAGCACATTTTGTTTTCAGTCCAACAAACAGCACAGCAGGTCGCAGCTCCTGTGCTGGTCACAGCAGCACAGGAGCTGCTGATTGTGCTCCCCAAGTTGTCACAGGAAGTCCAGACCTTCTTCTGAACACTGTCTATGTTTGAGGAGACCGTCTGAGGTCCTGAGATTAGATGGTTCCTAGAAACGTCAGGTTGGGGATGATGAGTGGAGGTAGTGTGGAGGGTGTTGTCTGGAGGACTACTAACATCGCTACCTCTGATGTTGCTAAACTATAAGATATTGGAAGAAAGTTCTGTTCAACAAATTGGGTCTCTGGGTGACCTTGTGGTGCATTTAAATTTTCTCGGAAACCACAGCGCTGGGCTCGGAGTGACTTCATCACCAAGTTAAGCTAGGTTGGACAGCACTGAACAATTTGTTTTGGTGCTAGGCACCACCAATCAACAAACCTATAATACTGTCCTTCAAATTTCACATGTTCCATCAATAAAGGACATTCTCACAAATTAAGGTTCTACAATGTGTGGCAGGGGGTTAAAATAATAATAACATGAATTAGTGTGGTAAAAAACAGCTTCTTGTTCTATGCTGTGCTTCATCTGGAGTGTCTGAACTCTCAGCGATTGAGAAAGGATTCCTTTTTGAAGATGTGGACTCTGTTGCGGTTTGGAATTTTACCCAATCGCGACAGTTCACCTGTGACGTGTGCAACATGTCAGTTTGATAAAATTTCCTGTGATGTAAACAATGTTTTTGTTCACTTCCTGCACTGCAATTGCTAAAACTACAGGAAGAATATATTTGAAACAGCTGAGCTCCACACATCGCCCGTTAAATGGAAGGGAAGCACTAAACCTCTGACTTGGCAAAATTTGAGTGACTTTTTTTGTGTATCACAAAAGGTACTGCAGGTGGAAAACACTTCACTCTTCTGAAAGGAATATCTACTATGCATGTCCCCTCTCTCTGTGTGCCCACTGTTTAACTTACAGTCCCTCTAAGGCACACAGTGATGACTGCTAGTTAAACAGATTTGGTGAGGACAGAATAAGGCTAAATCAGCTCCCTTGGTGATGCACACTTTGATGAATGAGCAGGTGCAAAGTATGGATTGCCCTCTCTGTTGTAGCGTTGAGAATGCATACATTCATTTCCCTGAAGGGCTTTACAGTGTGTGCTGTCAACACTTTGATTCTGCATGTGATCTATTTCTCTGTTTTTCACGCCGTAAGCCTTCCTGCATCATTCTTTCTCTTTGTCCTGCTTACCTGTATGCTGGCTCCTGCTAGCTAATGGTTATTACGGGTATCCGTTCGGAAATATGTGTTAATAGTGTCTTGCAAGCTAATGCTCCAAAGTGTGGAGCATTAGCAAATGCCCCATTTGCTGCAGTTGGGCTATTACAAGAATTGAAAAGGACTGTACATTTAACAATACACACTCTTGAAGCAGAAGCTGCATTTCCATCAACCATATAATTGTGCAAATTGAAATTACAAAAATAAATTTGCTTAATCGAAGCATGCCAATTTGAAAAAAAATAATAATTTTTGATTAAAGAAAAATTGCAATAGAATGAGGTGGTGTTGTTTTCTTTGTATCGCACAATTCAGATTATCAATGACCAGATGTTACCACTAGCAAAAACACTGAAGAAGACAACAGGAAGTAGTAATAGCATGGTGGCTTTTCTTTGTTTTTGCGGGCTCCACCAGAGCTCTGACAGCATCACACAGTTCATTTAACGTTCCAATGTGTTAAATGTATAGCACTTCTGTAAAATTAGTAACTACAATTTCCCCAAAACACATAGCTACTCCTAAGAATAAGGGACTTGTCACTCCAAAGTCTGAAAAGACGCCGGCGCTTTCTCTGATGGACAGTAGATGATGAACGCTAGTGACATGTCTGAATAATGAATATATTTCATGTAGTTTTTTGTATCCATCGACTTTTAATGACTTATTGCATGATCAAGCTTAACGTCTGATTTTAATTTGAGATCTTGTTTAATGGAAACATCACAATTGTGAAATTGTGCTTTTTCAACAGTAGCAGAAAATAGACAAAGATTTGTGCACAATTGTAATCCTTGCTCCCAAGTTAATGTAGGATATGTTCTCTCCCTTTTCCCCGCTCAGGAGTGTGCCTGGTGCTGGGTTGCATGATCTTCCCCGACGGCTGGGATGCAGAAGTGATCCGGGATATGTGTGGGGAGCATTCAGGGAAATACTCTCTGGGTGACTGCTCAGTACGCTGGGCCTACATGCTGGCCATCATGGGCATCCTGGACGCCCTCATCCTCTCCTTCCTGGCCTTCGTCCTGGGAAACCGGCAGACAGACTTCTATCTGGATGATCTGCAGACAGACAACAAAGGTGGGTAAAGGTCGACTCAAACATGAGAATCAGTTTTCCTTAACAGTCTTTGTATTTTATCAGCAAGTTGAGGTCAGCACTGGCATTAATGAAACACTGTGTGTGGTTGTTTGCTGATATAAATGAGTGGCGAAAGAAATAACATCCGTGAAAGATTTCTGTGATCCAGCAAAGAAACAATGACAAAATAAAAGAGAGGAAAAAGGAAGTAAAAACAAAAATGGGCAAAGACAGAATAAAAGAAAGTAAATGGGGAAAAAAAGAAATAAACAACATAGCAAAGAAAAAGAAACAAAGCACAAAAGAAAAGAAAAAAGAACAAAACAAATGAAAGAAAGAAAAAAGAGACAGAAATAAATTTCCCCAAAGATGAGAAAGAAAGAAGAAAGAGACAAAGTTGTTGTCAGACAGAAGAAAGTATGGTAAGAATCTTTCTATTAAGAGTATAGAAATATCTTCAATGCTATTTACTATTCTGACTTTTTTTTAATGTAAACCAAGAAATATATGGCTAAAAGCAAAAATGTATCTTCAAGAATCCTTTACATTCTTTCAGAAAAGGTGATTAAATGATTTATTTGACCACAATTTGTTGAAATATATTTGTGGTTTTCAAGGTATTTCGGTTTATTTCATGTCTCACCAGAAATAGAATATGCAAAGAGAATTTATGTTCAGCTCATTCATGCCGTATTTCTGTCGAATTATATGTTGAAACATAATGTAACTTTTCTATGCTGTCAATCTTTCAGTCTTTTAATTTTCATAGTTTTTGAGGTGGTTGATTTTAGCTTGTCTCTATCCACGACTTGCACACAACAAACATCTTCTGCAAAGATATTCAAGTCGATGAAAAATGGGGAGTTAAAATTGAATTTGTGCAGGAAGCCCAACGTGGTCTTTGCAATGGTTGAACATTCACAACACTTTTATATCAAATCTATGCATTACTCTAAAGTAAAATTGAGTTTGGACCCTAAACTCCCTGTTTGTTTACTCAGTATTTTCCACATATTGAAAATCTGTCAGTGGCAAAGATTGATAATCTTATTGAAAAATACAAATATGTTGGAAAAGAGAGTCAGTAAAGCTTTAGATCAACACCTGTGGCAGTGACATAGAGTGTGGAAAATATAAGTAGAATTAAATTAAAAATGTAAAACATATCCAGTGGGGATATTATATCCTGGAAACAGGCTTTGATACTACTGAGCATAAGATGATGCTACAAAACTTGAAAGATACGAGTGGAAAAGAAACAAACCAGTTAAAAAATGATCTTTGTATTAAACAACAATTTGTAGCGATTGGTCAGTCAGAATCTGAAGCTTTACTTGTTGTGTCTCACAAGGCTCAGTTTTCGGTCCCGGACACTTCATTAGGTACATCAGTGATAAATGTAGAGTAAATGTATATAAACGTGCTGACGTTAGTTGTGTTTGCAGATCATACAACCTTATTTCTTATGGGGAAGAAGACAGACATTATATTTACGTGGACAAATTCAGTAAGCCCAGAGGTTGGTTTCATCAAAAGTGTAACTGTTAAAATTATATTTATATAGTTTGAAAATTGAGAAATTAATGAAAATGCAAAATTGGACATTTATATGATCGTCATTGAAAGAGAGTTTAAAATCTATTTTTTGGGTGCAATTTTGGGATCAACCAACTTTTTGAAAATGTGAGAAATGAGAGTCATAGGGATTCTGGGGAAAGACAAACCACACAGTGTCAGCACATTGGTGATATGAAGGTATAATAATAATATATGTATTATTTAAAAAATATACAGTCAGTGTATAAAGCTCATAGAAAATATTCTCCCTGCTTAACTACATTGATATCTATCTTGATAAATCCAATGAGACCAAGATCCATTTAAAACTTTTAACTCCTCTCCTTCAGGCTGGTTTTAAACATTACCTAAATCAATATACCGTACTTGCAATTGACGGTTTAAAGATAACTAACTTACAGTGTCATGAGGTGCTTTTAAATTTGCACCCCTAGCATTTTAGGTAAAAAAGGAAGAAAAAAAAAAGATTCTTTATTTAAAAGTAGCCTGAAAAGGTAAAATTTTCCAACTTTTCTAATTTCTTGATCCTAAACTGAGCCCATTACTATTACCATGAGTGAGATTTGCTTAGTACAGAATGAATACACTTCAATCTGACCTCTGTATCTCCAGCCAAATTGCTCTCAGTGCTGAATCTAAGAGTGAAGGGAGAGTCCTCTGGGAGCTTTCTGACAGTTTGCATGATATTGCATCAGGGTAGGCCAATCACATTGTTCTATGCTCTAAGAAGAAAGGGGAAGAGGAGGAAAGGAAGAGCGCTGTGGAAGGGCACAGGCAGGAGATATTATTTTTGAACAATAAAAGTCTTCTTATATAAGGATTTTGTGTTTGATCTGACTCCAAAAACCCAAAGTGCATCATCACAAAACAAAGATCAGCGTTTTTAACAAAACGGGGGGGAGAGGCGGAATGGGTTGAAAAAAAATCCTTGACATGAGACATAGTAATTGGTGAGAGGAAAGAAAAACAGTAAAAGGAAAAAAAGAGAGAGAGAGAGAGAGAAGGAGGGAGAGGAAGAGTCAGAGTATAGTGACATAAGATGTCTCGGTTTTTCTGACGATCTATCTTCATGATGGTTTCCATGGTAACTGAGATATTCCAGAGCGTGGGCGTGTCTTTCTATTCTTATCTGATTAACCTCGCTGACGGTTTCTATGGGTTTACACATAAAACGCCCACCTATCCCAACACTGTATCAACTGCATATGGTTTGTTCACAAATTTCTTTCCTGAAACTCAAAAATGTCCTCCATTTACAATCAATACATAACTGAAGCTTAGCCAAGAAGCCATAATTCTATTTTAGCAGAAATAAATCTGTCGACTTTCAAAAATGACTTGCTTTGCATTCCTGTGAATCCAAAGCAAACTGCCCACTAGTCAAAGGTTCAGATTGCTTAACCCTAACCTTTCAGGCATGGATGGCCCTAGAGGGGGCCACAAGGGTCCCAGTATCCCAGTACAAAGATAATACTTAAACATTTTATTATGATGATATGACCTGATGCAGAAACCGTAACAAGTTTGTCCCGTAGACCTTTTTTTTTTTTCTTTACCTTCACAGTTTTACTTTAAAACATATACATTAATTAAAAATGTATATGTTGAGCCTTCAGCTGTATTGAGATAGGATCACAGTTTTCATCAGTAACTTTCCAGAGTCGCTAGTGACTCTTTGGTCCAATTAACATGTAAAACAATCAAATATTTCCCTTTTTTGTTTCATTAAATCTGTTAGGTGAATTTGGTCAGAACCGCAACAGCTGTCAAATATAAAAGTTTAAACATAGTGCACCATTTGTACCATTCTAGAGATAGTTCAGTTAAAACACATTTTATGCTGACCAACAAAAATGTAGTGGTTTTGGGTTATTTCATACCATAGGGTTGGGTTCTGGATTTGAGCTAACATAGTAAATTAGATTGGCACACAACGGACTAAAAGACCAATATAAAAGCTTCTTTGAAAAAACACAGATTAAAAAGTGGATCATTTTACCTTCGTAATTTCATTTAATTGTTGGTTATTCACAAAATATTTCCATGTGAAAGCATATGTACACAAAGGGTCAAATATAGTTTCAAATTAAAGCAGTCTTCCCCCCAGTAAGAGCATGACCCAAATGCTTTACACATACTTATGTAAGTGTATTCATGTTTTTGCAAAACTGTGCAATTCCTTCTCATTGTGTGTTTCAGTATGTAAGCTAGTTTTTCCTTCTCTGTCTTTGCAGATTTTGCTGTTTCGAGGGTAAGTTGATCTCCAATACACATTTTTTGTGAGAACAATTGAATAATATGCTTGAAATAAAACAAGTCTGTGGGTATATGGAATAACTTTGTAAGTCGACATCACATAGAGGGTTTTGGTTTTCGGTCCTGTTTCTCTCTGTGATGGCATAAAGTGTCTCAAGCACAACAATATATCATATAAGAATCTGCTTATCCATCTCTCTTGATCACACTATTACTTCTGAACAAAACACCAACATTCTTACAAAGCCTAATCCCAAGACGGTGCATCCTTTTCTGGTTAAGAAGAACAGCAAAGTGTTTGCTGAAGGATATAGCATGTAGACACCAACCGATCCCCAGAACCTTGGTCCTTAAGGTTCCCAGAACAATTTATCCTTCTCTCCAACAAACTCTTCACGATCCTTTCTATGAACCCCACAAACACGATCAAACAATGGGTTAGGCATGGCAGAGTCTGGAATGGGCTTTGCTTTGAACTGAGAAAGCAGACACGGGTCTCCTACATCTGTCTGCACTTGTCAAGAAACTGCAGATGCAAATTAGTTCATACGATTATCTGGAGGAGGAGTGCATCAAATTGTGATATTTATATTGGAGTTGTATATTATTCCTTTTTAAATAAAGTTTATTACCACATCTTAAAGCACCCTCTTGAAAAAGCCTGGATGGTCATATGACTTCTACAGAATCCATGTTGACCAGCCAGTTTCATGAGAGTAAATCTTTGGCCAGGCTCAATCTGAGTCTAATATTCAACGGTCATTTGTAGGCTGCCTTCTAAAGCAGAGGAAATATCTTTTTATTAAATATCTGGACCACCACCTGGTCTGCAACTCTAAAGTGGTTGTCATGGCCCTTCATTTAACATTGCAGTGATGTATCTCCCATGAGAGTGACACAATGTCCCAGAACTTAAGCATTACTGGATGAAGCTTGTCTGCTCCTGGACTGCTGGATTGTTTCAACAACCACAGGAACCTCTTCAACATGAGCCCTTAAAACTTAGTTTGTTCTCTTTCTGCAGGTTTAGAGGGAGACTTTAAGGATGTTCACTTTGACTCTTTCTCTCCTCTACTCCTGTCTCCTTTCCTTTTAAACCTTCTCCAAACCTTTGTCCCTTTCCTTTCTCTATTCTTCTTCATCTATGTGCCAATAACACTTGAAATTAGCCCAAAGAAGTTTCAAATACAGGCATCGAATGGAAAGACGTAATGCTCCACTTGTGAAAGTAAATCAGTTGGGCCAGAACTTGACACTCAGACAATAATCCTGAGTTCCACACTGCTGGACAGCGAATGTTCAAAAAAAAAGAAAAAAGATAGTGTATGTCAAAATTTCAGGGCTGCATCCTTCAAAGGCCCTGCTATACTGTAGATATAATCTTAATAGAGAATGACTGTTAAAACTTCTTGACAAACCGTCATCAAATATATTGTATTTTCAAAAGCAGATTAGTGATGTGTCTTCTGTCTTATTTTTTCTCACAGATTGAGGTACGAGACAGAAGAGAGCCGCGGTACGGAGTGCAACGTCTCCACTGAGGGCAACAATGGCACTGAACAACTTCTATTGATCTCTTTCTCTTCTCTATCTCTCCGTCCTCTATTCTTCTTTCCTATCCAATGATCAGGATATCACCCAATTTCAATGCAGACACCGCGTGTATAGGATTGTGTAAGATAAAAAAAGAAACTACAACAAACACGAGGATAAACTATATTTTGAAAAAAAAACAAGGTTGTACAGTGCATTTAACACTCAACTTTCTCAACAAATACCTTTATGATGAAAAATATTTACTGTATTTAAAGTCTTGAGTTTTTTTTGTGTGTGTGTGTGAGAACTCCGATCCCTAAGATGAAGAACCATAATGTCCGTTTTACAGTTCTTTATTTAAAGTGTCACTATTTACTGACTTTGAGTTTGTGTGATGTGTACATTCAAAACATCAAACAACAGATAAATGGTACTCCTCACACTGTTACAGGGACAAGACTCACAATATATCAGAACGTTCCATTACTACACCCGTAAAAAAATCAAAAAATGAAAAAACTACAGGGACTCATATGGCTCTTCATCTGAGGACATTTAAATGTGAAGAATTGAAAGGAGTACCCCATTGCAGCTTTACAGAATTTAACATCTCTGGGAGATTCTCTACTGTACATATTAAACAATGTAAATAACATAACTGCTGATGTGAACAGCCGACAACAAAACCTCATCTGACTCCGATGCATTCGAGTATAGTAGTATTTCTACCCTCCGTTTCAGTGTTCCTCATGCTGGAAGGGCATCTGAGTATACGTTCGGATTTGCTGTGTTCCTACGATTCCCCACTACTGATTTAGCGGGATCACACAGAGGGGAATAACACAGATATCATAGCTGGAAGATCCACAGAAAAGCAGAGCACCGTGACTCGGAATTATTGTGTTTGATCACTTTTTTATTTTCTTTTTTCTTTTTTTTTTTGAGGGGAAAAAAAGACACTACTCCTGCATCAACATGGCCTCAAAAGAAGCTGCTTATTGTAGATCCCCACCCTCTAGTATGTTGTAGATTTTACCATTGACTTTAGCTGCAGCTGTCATGTAAAAAAATCTTTGATTTGTGTTTCACTTGTTTGTGTCATCTCACAATGCCCCTCTCTTCAGTGTGCAGTTTACTCCAGTTAATGGTTCCAGCATACAGTGATCAGTTTACGCTACAGATGTCTTAAGACTGTGTGAATATGACTGCTAGTGCTGGCCCCAAGTGCTGCATTAAGGCGATGTCAGATACGCCTCTTTAAAACAGAAAATCCCCGGTGGGACAAGCATCTGCTATAAAAAAAGTTTCAAATTTAAGTAATAATACAGAAAGCTAGTGTTGCAAAAAGACTGAGGGAGACACTTTCTGAAATAAAAGCATTTGAATTCTTCAGTGTAATTCTTCATGAATAAGGAAAAAAGGTGAATGAGTTAATGTGCTAAACTTGATTTGAAATTTTTAATGCAATTTCTAAAGCGATAGCTTGGATTTTTTTTAAAAGTGAAGTGCTATGAAGTCATCAGTAAAATACTTAAAGTAAGAAAATTTGTGTTTATGTGAATATTCATTTATTGTAGAAATGCTTCTAGGCGATAAATCCCTTTAATCTAATTATTTTCTCCTTAAATTGTACCATATTTTGAAAGAAAAGGCATTTTTTGAGTTGAGCATCAGAGCTCTATATGTGGGTTACACCATGAAACGCTAGCCAAGCCCTTTATGCTCAGGGCATAAAGCTTATTTTGCTACTGCCTGCAGTTTGGCATCCATTAATTCATTGAAAGATTGATGTTTGAACAAACAAGACATAGAAGATATTTGTAGCTTACAAATTTAAAACAAGGACCTCAACAACAACAGTCTTGAAAGTCCTTGTTAAGCTGGACACCAGCTTGGTCAGACACTGCTGTGGGATGGCATTTGATTCCTCAACCAGCCATTGTCACCAGTCAGCCAGTGTGGTTGTATTGGCATTAACGGGACACCCTGACTGACCAGGCAGGTACTTGTATGCAGGCAGATCATTACATCCTCTCCACTCCCAGATTCTGGAGGTATTTTCTGGTAAATCCGCCTCTGGAGTTGCCTGAAAACAAACCAGCCCTTGAGAAACGATTGTTTGTTGAAAAACAATTGTTTCCTGCAGGCTGTGGACTCTGTTGAAGTTTTAAAATTTACCCAACTGCTGATGTTTGGCTGTCATATGTAATGTGCCAGTTCTATGCTATGAAGATTACTGGCTAATTCAATATCTGGGATGGTTAGTTAGTTAGTTAGTTAGTTAGTTAGTTAGTTAGTTAGTTAGTTAGTTAGTTAGTTAGTTAGTTAGTTAGTTAGTTAGTTAGTTAGTTAGTTAGTTAGTTAGTTAGTAGCTAAAGCCAGACTACAACTCTAAAGCAGCACAGAAAATCAACATTCACAACTTCTTCGGTTCGCTGTTTGGCCCGGCAGAAACTCAACCAGAGCTGCAAGCTCGATCTGAATTTAACAGAATAGTGCAAGCAAGCAATGGCTGGGCTAATTCTGGAGGCAAGCATTGACATTTTGGAGGATAGAATTTGATCCCTCAGAGGGGAGATGTGGAGATTTTCACTGGTTTCACTGAGATTGCCTTTAATGACGACAAGCCTTGGTTTTCCAGTGAGGGTCATGCTGCCCTACACCAAACACACTGCCTCCATCAGAAACAGATTGGCCTTGGTTGTGTAGCACAGAGAAGGTTATCATGAGGGTGACGCAGATACTCAACTCTACAACAGTTTAGGAAGCATTATTAAAATCAAACAATGACCAAACATAAATCTTCTTACTAACTAACCTGTTTAGTTCATTACTTATTGTAGACATTACGTTCTAATTCAGAACTAGCCTGGCAGATTAGCCTTGGATAACTTTAACCATTTAAAACAACAAAACAAACTTGTTTAATCTGTGGGATGTAAAGCTGCCATTGAGGACATTAAATGCTACAGTTTCACAAGTCACCACTCTCATTTTTTTTCACCTAAGCAATGTGTTTCTGTGCTAAAGTTACATTAGTTGAGGTCGTTGGATGAGACAATGGGACTCGTCAACTCTTTTAAGAGAGTAAACCATTACATTTTCAACCTGTCATTTCAGCAACTTTATCAAAGAATGTGATAAAGTTGCTCTCAAAGTGGTTTGGAAATGATCCCATTCAGATTGATACTTTGCCAAAGTAACTTTAGCACAGTCAGAGATATTTGGCTACAAAAACAAGAAATAAACATTACTGAATATGTACTAGTTAATATCTACTAAGGTAGCCCTGCATCACATGGTATTAAGATTTTCGGTTTGAATTTTTTAAATTTATTTTATTTCTAAAATTAGCTAAGGTAGGTGGAGACCATTCCTAATAGCTACTGGCCTTCCACTGCTATCTGCTGTTAAATGACATCTATACCACAAAGGCAACAAACTGATAACTTACAGAAGCTCACAGATTCAAGCTATCGCCTTAAAACACATTTTAATACAACATTTAGGCAAACGCTGATAAATCATTTTAAACATTTTGCATCAAGTCCTGTTTTTCTTCCATCATTTTTATTTATGAATATCATTGAAACACAAGATGGTAGTAAAGTAAAAATTCCACTCCCTTATTCTTAAGCTTTTTAAAAAATGATTGTTTTTTTGACACTCCCATTTTTCCAAGTTATTTAGATTCAGAAAACCTCAGAAATGACTCATTTTCAGCTAATCAGGGCATATGTTTGTGAGAGCAACACATTAAATGCTACCTTTACTTTCATTACTATACATGTTATTCAAAACAGCAGCATGAACTTCAAACTGTGGAGGCTATGATGCCAGAACCGAGCTGCAGAGGCAAATCCAAATAAACAGTTTTAACTTTCCTAAAAGAGTGTTAGCTGCTCACATGACATTGGAAATATTCAAAATGGTTTTGAACACAAAATATCATCTTAGAGTTTGTCAAACCGGCAGCAGATTCTATGTGGTGGATGATTCCGACATTTCCACCTTAAGAGAACTTTCCAGATTTTTATTGTTAGTTTTGCATTTGGCTGTGAACGTAAAGCCTTAAAAAATGTTGATGTGATCGTGTGCTTACCTTTCTGTTAGTAATGGTCATGAGGCGATTTGAGATCCTCACAGTATTTGAACCTTGAGGGGGAAAAAAAAGTCAGGCATTATGCAAAATTGAAAATTAAAGTAGATTTTATTTAACACAGAAACAATTTAACAATTTATTCTGTCATTCCTTTGAAAAAAACTAATTGATTATTAAATTGGAATAATTATCTATTACTTTTATTCATTATTTTGAGTTGCTTATTCAACAACATATTCATTTTTGACTCTCTGCTCAAGGTGCACTGGGCCTTCTTTGGCTCAGGAGTGTGCAGCAACAGGTGGGGGATGGGGAGTGTTGTGCAGTTCTATTCTCCATACAGCCAGACTAGACTTACATCAGTCTGGTAGTTTCTCAGCCTTAAACTTTTAACACCAGTGTAATGAAACATGTTAGCAGTTTGTGAAACGGGTTAATCCCAAATCACAAGCTGGTTCTCTTGCTGAATCAACAGTTGATGTGGTTTCAAATGTTGAACTTTTCTGAAGTCCAGAATATGTGTTGAACTTAAGAAATACAAGCAAATGGCATTTTTTACCTCCATGTTGTTTAGAAAGTCGATTTGATGGGATTATTGATTCTTTACAACCTTTGAGCTTATTGGTCTGAAATTTGCTAAAAAAAAAAAATAAAATAAATCCCCAAAAACCTGCAGACCACACACTGTCCTCTGGGATAACTGCCAGATATTTCCTGCGTTATCCATGTAGCTGTGACATTAAACTGGTTGTTTCCCTTGCTGATAGATTTGGACTTAGACATGATTTCACATCCTGGTCTAGAGACTTGATGGCTTCCAAATGATCAGTTTACACAAGAACAAAGGAGATACAGTAGGTTGTTAGTGTTCATCAAATGAAAGTGTCATAATTTGAACAAAAAGGTATTACCTGCTTTACATTACTAACTGCCAGAGAGAGCTTTGTTTTCTTTTGTCTAAGCTCAATTACTGTACCCGCTGGCCAAATGATGGGTTCTTTATGCTTTAGCTGCTTCATATTTCTCCATTGTTTGCTGTGATTCTGGTGACTAGCAGGACTCAACCATGACAAAATGTGGTTGCACAATATGACAAAGCAGTCTGCTGTAATCCAGGGCACCATGGGGGATTTTTATCCCTCTCAGAGGAACCCTTCAGGCTGACACACTGTAACTGAAACTCCCAAAGCTTGGCTTAAGTCATGACAGGAATAAAATTAGCTGTGTGCATAGATAATTGTTTTATATGAGAAACTGACTTGCTGTGCCCAAGTAAAGGAAAGGTACAGTCATACCATAAATCCTCCTAAGTAGACAAATGATTTTTACCGAGCTGTCAAATATTGACCTGGTGTTTTAAACATTGGGCCAAATCACAAACAGAAAACACCCTCCATAAAGTATCCTTTTACTGTTATAACTAACTTCAATGTCAGACAGTGTTAGGGAAGCATTCTTTATTGTTTTTTTCAGGATGGTTTTGAAGGGTGTGTGTGAGCAGTCAATGTCTCACTGACAGTAGATAGTGGTTTGATAAATCCATGATTGGAGAAGATTTGCAGACTTCCCAAAAACTGCATCATCTGTGGAAATGTTTAGAACATTCAGAGTTATTAGCTTCATGCCACTCAGTTTACTAAGTAGTGGAACAGCAGTCATCCTATTTAGCCAAAAACAAAACAGAATCCCTTCTTTTCAGATGGTGTGAAAGTGTTTCAATAAACCACTCCAACATTTTTGAGTGCCATTCAGCTAAGTAGAAAAGCAATTGCTTAGCGGTTGGCTTGGCTAGCCCAAAAAAATGTTCCAGGTTTTTTTTAAAAATTGACATTACTTGGAGGTGTGAAGTGCTTAATAAACCAAAACCAGGAAGTTAGTTACTTCCATAAACTTGCATTAATTTCCTACTCAACATCATGAGACTGATCTGACCACTGTCCACTCCAGTTGAGACATCTAGAAACTGTAGTCTATGACTGCTGATACATTCACTGTGGGGAAAGTCCAAAACTCAGATTTTTCTCTCATGAAGAATTTCAAACAACCTTTAAAAGTTGACTAATTTATAAATGAAGGACATGATGCCTACCGACTGAACCAATTGGATACCGTTTCACTTGGTTCATTTGCAAATTCCAGTGCATTCCTTTACTATACAGATAGCTAGATGTACAGTGTCTTTTTAGAATGGTAGCTAGCTAATTCTCAGGAAGCTGTGTACTAAGTACTGTATTAAAGGCTCATTTTGGAAATAACAAACAAAACAAGTCAAAAACAAGAGTGACTTGACGAGGTCATCATTTAAATGATGAGTTGCTTCACTCTGGCTCTTGATGAAGTGTAGACTAGATTAGCACTGATGATGTTTTTCTTTCTGGGCCTTTAAGACAATATGATAACAGCCCTTATGCTGAATCTAATGATGCTGTCTATGGAGGCTCTGCACAGACCCCTGGCCTATGTCAATCCACTGTCGTAGTGTAAAAGTGCTGGGCCCTCATTCAAGAGACGTTTATTTCTGTTTTACCTTGAATTATTTGTGCAAACATAAAAAATACAAAAAAAAACAACAACAAAAAAAAAACAGAAACATTCGCAGTGAAACAACCATTTGGTAAAGAATTCTCATACTTGCTTTGGATGTTTATTTAGTTATCAGAGCAGAATTCCTTTACTGTTCCATACGAAGGGCTGCGTTAAGCAGTCAGTCATGTTTCTCACACATTGTAGCGTGCATCTGTCATTTGTTTTGGGAGTTGTTTTTTTTTCACAGGCCCAGGACATAATTTCATAACATATTAACAGTTAGATTATAACGAAAACATAGCCCTGAGGCCTACGTGGTCATGTGAGGCTTCCAAGAATCAGTACCTGTACGATCGTCGTTCTGGTCTTTTTTCTGGGTACTTTGGTTCCTGAGGACTTGACAATGAACCTATGAAAAAAAAAAAAAAAAAAAAAAAAAACTTAAAAAGGAACTGAAAATACCTTAACCCTGATGAGCACATATTTGTACCACTCCAGGTGCCTCTAAGAACTCTTGAATTAATTCTGATGTGGTGCAGAACCAGCAAAACAAGTAGTGACACGGTAGGTTTTTTTCTACTACAGACTGAGCTCTGAAACTAGATGGGTTATTTGTAGATTTGAGGTCAATTCAGTTTCAAACCATGAAATTAAGACAAAGTCGAATTAATTACCTTACTTTGTGGAGACTTTTTGATGTATAAAACGTAGGAGTAAAAATCACATTTTTTAAATTTTCAATTGTCAATTGGACTCCAAAGCTGAATTCGCCTCAGTCTAGAACTGTGGGATCATTTAATCATGTGAAAAAGACTGAACGTGTGTTAAGAGTCAGTGAGAAGTCATTTCTGATTTCTAGCTACAAACAAAATGTCTGTGGATTATGTAAATGTCATAGACATGTCAATGATTTATCATCTTTTTATCATGCAATATCATATATAAAGATGTATTGTGTGGGGCGGGTCAGATTGGGAACAAAAAAAAGAAAAAAGAATAATGTTCAGTGACTTATGTTATTCTAGTTGACTTTCTGTTAACTCCTGAAATGCAGATGTTGCCAAAATACCATAAACTATCATGTGTTACCATGAGAGAAAAAAAAAAAGTAAAAAGAATCAGTTTTGCTTTTGTACAACAAAATAATGATATACAGATATTTGTCATGTATTTCTGATGAAATCTTTGTTTTTATGTGTTTATCACAGACTCTTTTGTTCTGTTACAGTTTTCCTTTTAAAAATATTTAGGTATGAAATATGATGGTTCCTTGGTCTTATGAGACCTAAAAAACCCCGGATTCAGTTTGGACTCGATAATGGGCCGCTGCTTTTTGAGATCTCAACGCCCAAAACGTTTGAAAACTAAAGATGGAATGAGAAGTCGTTATCTCTCACGGTCGTGTACGAGAGCAGAGTCTCAAAGGGGCCTGTCGCTCACCCGGTTAAGGCTGACATATTGATTTTGATTTGAAAATTATGTCTAATTCCTATTTGTAAATAGTATTCAACCTCACAGTGATGAGAAATTCTGTTATTAAAACGCATTTTGAAAAAGGTAAATAAAGATATTTTACATTCAAAATCAGTTGTGAAGGATTTATTGAAGGTAGGCAAGTTAAAAGCTAATAACTTTGATAGGAAGCAGCAGCAGAAACTCAGCCATCACCTCCAGCTTACTTTGGGGAATGCAACGGCATTCAATCATCAGAATTTCCCTTCTTCATCTTTCCTGGAGTCTTCTACAGAAGAAGACAAACCAAGACACTTTAACTGTATGTTTTTCATGTGGAAGAGCAGAAATTTAACTCCAAACTGGACGATGAAGATTCACAAGCAAAGTCCAAGTCTGAACCATTTCACCCTACAGAGGAATCTTGTTTCAGTTCGTATCTCATGATCAGAGGTGAGGGTTGGAACATACACCATTAGATGAAAAACTTGTTCTTCGAGCTCAAATCCGTCTTCACTGGAAGAAAAGAAAAGGCAGATTTACTGCAGTCCAGAATCAGAATGTGTTTAGTTACATGTGTATCTCTACCTTCAGTTGCTAGAGCAGATTTTTCTCAAACTATGCTGTTGGGTCTAAATGTGGCGTAGGACAGAGACATCCAGGGTCAAGATAACATTTCCTTCACATGACTGTAAGTAACTACATTTCTATTGACTATAAAACTGCACAAATCTCAAATACAAAAATAATTTAGTTAACAAAAATTAGTTCAATGGAAACTGACTTAAAAAGTAAACATGTTTTTCAATAAGTCTGTGTGAGAATGAGGTTTTTCACATTTTTTCAACCTTACCAAAATTGGTGTATTTTGTGAAACTTTCTGTGCATCACATGAGTCAGTTTATGTACATTAGCTGCATTTTTGTTCACCATACTTTGTTCAAATTGAAATTCTGAATATAAATTCACTAAATGGTTGCAGGCAAATAAAAAAAAGTGAAATTTTTGGCCAGAAAGTTTTTGAGCTAGGATGAATGTTTAGTTAATGTTGATGAATGTTTATTGCAATTTCTTATTAGAAGGAAACAGCACAATTGCAAAGTGTTTTCTCAACATTAGCAGAATATTGAATAAGTCTTGCATACATTTGTAACGGAAACACAGTTACTGACTCCAAGTACACAAGGAAGCAAGCAGCGCTTTGGTTGTGGACCAGGATGATCAGAACGGTTGTTTACAAGTCAGATGTGAAGCAGCTCTACTATAGAGCTAAACATTGGTTCAGTGGTTCACAGAACAGCTAAATATTAAAATAGTAGTAGTTTCTACAGTAAATATTTAAATTTGTAAAGAATAATGCAAATACCAACAAATTGCTAATTTGATTTATTTATTTTTTTACTTGGATTAGACCAATTGCATTTCCATTACAAATGTGCAGAAAACTTTGTCAATATCTCGCCAATATCAAAACAAAAACTATTTTGCAATTAGTGTTTCCGTTAATTAAAAGAGGCCATTAAAATTATCTGTGAATAAACAAGCTGCTCCTTCATCCTTCAACACTTCCTGGCATCTTCTTCATGGTTTGTGACAGCAGGAATGTCAAGTTTGTTGTTACTAGTCTGATGGGAAAACAATTGTTTCTGTTGTAGTTTTGAGAGATAAACCAATTTTGATTTGATCCCACCCAAAAAAAACACCTCATACTCATGCCAAAACTTTTTATAGAAAAACAGGTGTTTCATTTTTTGGAATTGGCATTTCCATCAAGCAACTTTGTTTTCGAAATGTCAAATTGCTCAAGTATACCGTCAATGAAAATGCAGCCAATGTGCAGCATTCACAGAAATAAAACCAATGAATAGGAGTGTTGTAAATATACAAATAAATGTAAATAAATTACATTATTTATTTATAATTGTTTTTTTTTTTTGGGAATTCCCAAATCTCTTTGATTTGCTAGTTATTGTCATTAGACGATCTTAATCCCAGGCATCACATTGACCCGAAGTCCGGATCCATCACAGGCCTGACATAATATTATTTGATTAAGACATGTCACGTCTTTTGTCGTGTTGGTGTTGAGTCACTCGGCCAAAAATATCACACAGACTCGACTGTACACAGACGGTGGAGCGACCCGTGACTGGAGACTCCACAGGCTGTCGCAGTAAGTACCTGTAATTCATCAGTGGCTTCCTGTTCTGTGAGGCCGGCATGGAGCAGCTCAGCACTGGGCTCCCAGCAGAGCTGCTCACCCATTTAGGGTTGTATCTATTTTTGAAGTACAAAATGTGCCACACACCATTGATTCAGTGGAGCACAGTGAGTACACAACCTTTTTTTATGTTTTTTCTTTTTTTTGTATTAAGTGTTTTCCAGGCACATAATACCATAATACAATACAATCAAGTAACTATTTACCTCCAGTTGCCATAAAATGATATATTATATATATATATCTGCCTTCTGGAAGGTGGAGTTCCGAAACAGGAGGCCCAATTTCAAGAAAAATGTCTTTTAAGTCAAATTATATATACAAAAAAAAATTCCCTTCTCACCCACCGCGGGTGGTTCTTATCCTCTGAGCTCGGGTCCTCTACCAGAGGCCTGGGAGCTTGAGGGTTCTGCGCAGTATCTTCGCTGTGCCAAGGACTGCACATTTCTGGACTGAGATGTCTGATGTTGTTCCTGGGATCTGTTGTAGCCACTGCTCCAGTTTGGGGGTTACTGCCCCGAGGGCCCCGATGACCACAGGCACCACTGTGGTCTTCACCTTCCAGGCCCTCTCCAGTTCCCTGAGGCCCTGGTATTTCTCCAGTTTCTCGTGCTCCTTTTTCCTGATGTTGCAATCACTTGGTATTGCTACATCTACCACAACGGCTTTCCTCTGTTGTTTATCCACTACGACAATGTCTGGTTGGTTCGCCATTACCATTTTGTCTGTCTGGATCTGGAAGTCCCACAGGATCTTAGCTCTGGCGTTCTCCACCACCTTTGGGGGTGTTTCCCACTTTGATCTCGGGGTTTCCAGTCCATATTCTGCACAGATGTTTCTGTACACTATGCCTGCCACTTGGTTATGTCGTTCCATGTACGCTTTCCCTGCCAGTATCTTGCACCCTGCTGTGATGTGCTGGACTGTCTCAGGGGCCTCCTTGCACAACCTACACCTTGGGTCTTGTCTGGTGTGGTAGATCTGGGCCTCTATTGCTCTGGTGTTTAGGGCCTATTCCTGGGCGGCCAGGATGAGGGCCTCTGTGCTGTCCTTGAGTCCAGCTTTTTCCAGCCATTGGTAGGATTTACTGATATCAGCCACTTGGGTTATTTGCTGGTGGTACATCCCATGTAGGGGCTTGTCCTCCCATGATGGTATCTCTGGCACCTCAACCTCCGTTCCCTGTTGTCTGAGACATTCACTGAGCACATTGTCTGTTGAGGCTTTGTCCCTGATGTATTTATGGATCTTAGTTGTTTCGTCCTGGACAGTGGTTCTCACACTCACTAGTCCTCTGCCTCCTTCCTTGTGGAGAAGTGAAATACATTGTTTATATTACTTACATAGCTGGAAGTCTTAAAGTCTTTATTTCTGTTAGTTAAGATGATTTTCCACCTCCAGCTAATAAAAACACCACATTTATTTATTTATTAAACCAAATCAATTTAAAAAAAAATCAGTACAGAAATTTGGGTTTAAAACCTGAATTCAGAAGTTATTTTCAAAAACTACTTTTAAGCCTCTTCAGAATGCTTTCTGTAGTTGGTTGAATATGCCTGTGCAGCAATTACAGTATGTTAAAGCTGTAACCATGTTGTGACAGTATGAGACAGATAAACTTCGAAAAGCTCCATCGCCTCCCTGAGATACTTTTGCCATTTGGCAAAATCAAGCTCTCCTGGTCAGAAACAACCAATCAGAGCCAGCGCTGCACTGTGTCTGCGCGTGTGTGTGTGTGTGTGTGGGGGGGCGCTTGTGTGTGTGTGTGTGTGTGT